CCCGAGCTTGCCCAGGTGCTCGTCGGACAGCCGCCGCATGTCTTCGAACGCCCCCCGCGATGGCGGCGGCAGCGTCGCCTTGCGCGAGAGCGCCGACGTGTCCGCGCCCCGCTCGCCGACGCCGAGCGACGTGGGCGGCCGCGCGGGTGATGGCGCCGGCACCGGCGCTGCGCGCCCGTGCGAAAACCGGCTGACGGAGAACACGGGGAGGGCCAGCCGCCGCAGCACGTTGCGCATGGAGACCAGCGCTCCACCTTCCTTGTCTGCTACCCCTCGCGCGCTGCCGGCCGCCGCCGCCGCCGTCTCGGGGATCAATTCCACTTCTGTTTCTGCGATCCGTACATGCGCGCGCGGCCTTGACCGCTCACCGGTCTCCCTGTCCGCCTGCCCTGTCTCTTGATCGCGCCGAGTCCCGTTGATTGTAGGAAGGAGCGCTTGCGTTTTGGCCTCGGCAGTTAGCCCGGTCGGATGCGACTCTTCGTCTACCACCGCCGTCACAAACACCCGCGACCGCGAAGCCGTGTCCGAGTCGTAGTCTTCCACATATTCCTCAACCTCAAAGTCGCAAACAATGTACTCGTCGTACGCCTCGTACTCATCCTGTGGCGATACTGGCGCTGCTTTGACATCTCGATCTCCGGGACTGGAGATGTTGTGGTCGGCGTCGGCAAATGGTGATACGTCAACAATCGTCCGCACGCCGCCCTGCATTTCTGGATGCGGCGAGTCTGTCTCCGTGACTTCTCTTGCCTTGTCCTTTGGTAGGCCATCGAACAACCTCCTTTCTGCGCTTTGTGACGTAGCCACACCGCTGCTGCTGCCGTCAACAGTCTCATCGTGTCCCACGTCCCTAGATTCCATTTCTCCACTCTTGTTTCCACCCACAGACGCACGTGGCTCACTATGACCCGTCCCGGAACCCGACGGTCGAGCCAATCCACCGTCTCCTTCTAGAGGAACTACCGACCCACGCATCTGATTGTCAGCAGACCCCACATCTTTGGATGTAACAGAGGATACCGCCAGAGCCGATAGAGAGCCTCCCTTCTCCACGCCCGCATCGACACCGTTGGCTCCACGTACGCGATAATCTCCCCTTTCCGGACCCTTCAGGTCCCTGAGGTAGTCTGCAATGCCCGCTTTCTTGTCATCGGCCTCTTCAATAATTTCCGTTCGTTCAAGGCTGGCACGCGCCGATTCTGCCTCAAACACATTTACCTGCGACGAGTCATCCGTGCGAACTGACCCAAACCTCCTGCTCGCCAGCAACGAAGTCCCGACATGATCTGACTCAATGGATGGCACCCTGCCATCAACCGAGTCATCACTCTTTCTCTTTGCGGTTTGCCTTTGTGGTGTGTCCTGCAGTTTTGTGTCTTGGGCTGCAGGCTTGCCGAGTGGCGAGGAAAACAATCCAGATGATTGACGCTGCGTTGGCGGTTCAACAAGGCTCCGAATGCGCTGGTGTTGGCTTGCACGAGTAGAATGCGTAGACCCTACAAAATCGTTTTCAAATCTGTCGGGGTCGAAATCGTCTACTGACAGGGATTCGTCCTTGTCGTGGTGGTGGTCATCTTGACCAGTAGCATCGGATTCATCGTCAGTCTCATCCTCGAGTATGCTTGTGTCAGTTTGGAGCTTTGGTTGCGGATGCAAGGCCTCTTGTTCCTCTTCCTGCACGTCGGTTTCACTGTCGAAGCGAGAGTCTCTGCCTGAGCAAGTCTCTGAACCCAAATATTCATCCTCCTCCAAACCAACATCACGTTCCTCCCCCTCCTCCCCCTCCTCCTCCTCCTCCTCTTCCTGCTCCTCTTCCTCCTCCATATGAACATTGCGTTCCTCGTCGTCGTCGTCGTCGTCGTCGTCGTCGTCGTCTTCCTCGCCCTCATCGTCCGCATCGTCTTCGTCGTCCGTCTCTATTTGTCTGTCGCCAATGTCTTCAAACTCGTCGAGGAAATCTTCGGTCAAGGGACCGGAAATAAGTCTCTCAACACTGGAGCGATGAGCGATGCCCCGAGAGGATGGGGAAGTGTGGTCGTCGTGCACAGCGAGAGACAAGGTGTTGTCAGCGAGGACTTCTGAAGCGAGTGCGTTGATATTCGATGACAAGACCTTGACGGGAATGGAGGCAATGTCACCGTCTGAGACATCTGGTTCCTCTCTAGACATGAGCTTGTCCGACGAGAGGGCATAGGTGGTGAGGGTCTCGATATTGGTGGATAAGGGAGCGAGCTGGTTGTCACTTTCTCCATTGCGTCTCAACAAGGGCGTGACCTCGCCGGAAGCAAGCGGGAGGTCATGATCAGGGCGATTGGTAGTAGTAGTAGTAGTAGTAGTAGTAGTAGGCAGCAGGCGCGGATCGGGGACCAAGGGCGGGTGGCGGTCCCTCGTCCTAAGAATAACACTCCTATCCGAGGTCTTACGCGAGATGGAGGTAGTGAGGTGGGAGTCGGACTTTTCCTCGCGCACGTCCTGCCTCTCCGGGGACACGGGGGTTACATCGCCGAGGCTATGCAGTGACGGCTGGGGCTTGGCGACGGCGAGGTCCTCTGACAGTGGCTCCTCGCTCTGTGCGGACGCGAGCGACTGGGTGGTAGTGGTGGTGGTGGTAGTGGCGATAGTGGTGGTGGTGGTAGTGGTGGCGGGGGGGCCGGCGGCGGGGCGGGAGACGCGGGCGGCGCGAGCGGCGCGGGCGATGCGGGCGTTGGTGATGCGGATGCGGTCTAGGCGGCGCTCGATGGTGTCCCAGACATCGAACGGGTCTGGGCGGTCAAGCTTGCCCGCGACGTTGAGGATGGAGGGCTTGGACTCCCACTGGAAGAGGACGGAAGCGTCGGCGGCGAGTGCGAGGACGGCCGGCTGGACCATGCCGTAGTCGAAGACCCATCCGTGTGCGCGGTGTGAGTCGGGGTTTGTGACGACGGGGGTAGCGAATCCGGCGGCGGCGAGGTGCGAGACGAGGAGGTGCTCGGGGTCGCCGAAGAAGAAGAGGCGGGCGTCGAGGGCGGGGCGGCGGGCGGCGATCTGGGCCGCGACCGAGTAGGCCTTGCCCTGCGACTGGGACGAGACGAAGAGGACGGCGACGCCGGCCAGGTCCAGGCGGCGCTCCAGGGCCGGGATAGAGAGCCAGCGGCGCAGCCACTGCTTGCAGAAGAACGAGCGCTCGCCCC